GAGAGGATGGAGAAAAGGCTAGAGAAATAGCGAAGGGCGAAAAAGTTAGTTTTTATTTTTGCCCTAATTGACAAATCACTAACACATTGCCGTTACCTAGATAAGCAACATAGTTTGTTTCCAAATTTACTGTTTAATGTGAACAGAAGTCATTTGTTTTCCAATTTTACCAACTGGTTTCTAACGGACCCCAAACGACATTGTTTCAAGTCCTATGGGTGGATTATGAACGGGTAACAAAACACTGTTATTTTGTCATTAACTTTCGAGAATGACTGTCACAATAACGTCTTTTCCTGTTAAGTTACCATGGATTCTAATTCTGTTGGAAAAAAATTGTCTGTCGATGATCTAAGTTTTTCTTCTAGTGGTGGTTTGCTGTGAGGGGTGAACCTTTTATTGGTTTCTAATTGTATGATTTCTGAAATTGATGTTTAATGATCTGTAGACATTGTTTATCTATATACAGTAGCTTTTGAAGGAGAATTAAGTTTATTTGTTGAGATTCTTATGGAATTTTGGACTTGAATAACAGTAGTTTAACCTCAAGAGATCATTAACTGAAGAAGAATTTCAGTTTACTTGGGATAATAGTTTGGTAAGTGCTGTGGTTTATTCAGAAACTAGGTAGCATAATCTTTTGCCCTTTCCAGTTAGAAATACTGGAGCATTATCTGGCCACTCTCTTTTTGATTATAATGTTCCAACTTCTGTTTTTTACCCTGTTGAGTTCCGAGTGTAGTAGCCATTCTCCTATTTATATATTTGTCATTGTACTGAAGCTATTGACACGTGTGTTTGTGACAATCTTATTGGAAAATTCCTTGGGTAGTAAATTGATTACATTTCATGGTTCCTGAGTTTCGAGGTTGGGAAGTTGATGGTATATAATAACACTAATTACTAGTTGAATTTTTATTTACTTTAAAATCATATGCTTGAATATGATTGCCAATTACGTGAAAAGCAATGAAAGAAGTAATTGTTTTGATGAAATGAATCCTAACTCGATTTTCAGCCAAAATAGGAAAAAATATCTTGTTCCCAATCAATTGGTCAATAATTCATTACCATCACAATCTTTTTGTTCCAAATAGTGTTTGCCAGTAGTTATTAACTAAGAAGAAAAAGTAGCATGTGTTCAGTAAGTAGGTGATTTATCTGATATATATGTCTTTATTCGATTTCCTTGTGTAATAATTTTTATGTCAAGGTTTATAGCTTCTCTAGGCATGCTCCATTTATGGTTTTATTGTTTGTCCTTATGGCTGGCTTAATCTATCTCGACACGTCCTGAAGTTTAACAATAGGTAGGAGCAAAATTGTAATTATTTCTGCCATTTGGTTGGAGAGGATCCTGTAAGACCATGGATACGTCCGATAAAGTTTCTCTTCACTCTAGGTTGGAATATATAAAAGAAAATTAAAGGAACATGCGATTATAAGGAAGAACACAAAACCCAATCTACTTCCTGTGTATGTGTGTATTAGTTGGCAACATTCCTGTCTAAAATTAATTTATGAAAGTATATTTCATCCTCTTGTGAAGCAGAATATTATTTCCTTTTTTTTATTATCAGAATTATAGAATCTTGAATAAATCATACGTGCATTAATCCTTTACGACTGGAACATAATCTCTGATAATTATTTAACATGCATGTTGAATAAATTTACTCCTAAAAGTCTTTCCCTAACGACCATATGTAATATACACGCACACGCACATGCACACAACTATCTAGCAAGCAAACAACATATGCTCTTCATTTTCAAAATTATCAACGTCAACTGTATTTATCTTCAAAATGCTTTTCTAGTAGCCACTTAACAGGATATATTTTTCCTCAAAAGAATCTTGCACATCTAATGTTTTTAGACCCATTGTTCTATATTGAAAATTTGGTTTGAGTATCACTTGCATTTGACTGAATGCTAAAGAACTTGGTGCAATTTAAGTGTGCTTGTATGGTTATATAGGTGCATATCATGTTGAGCTATGTGTCTGTGGCAGGGGATTTATTCATTATTTCCATTGTTCTCATTTCAAAATTAAAGGGTCACATTCTAATATTGATTGATATATGCAAATATATCACTTCTGTTTCTGATCTGTACTACCAGAATATTATGTAACCAGGATTTTGAAATGAAACTAAGGTCCATGTCCTTGTTATTTCCTTTTTCTTTTGATCAATTCTTCAAAACAGTTTATGTGATATTTTTTGTTACATAGGTACTGTTTAACCATGAATGTTATTGGATTTGTATATTCTGGATTTCAAGCATGTGATCTAGCCTACCATTTGATTATGGGAAAACATGTAGTCTCTCACCATCTGCGTTTCCATCTTGATTTCTCAATGGATCAGGCAAGTAATTTTACTTTCTTTTTCTTTTCATGTTTCTTTTACCCAATGTCATCAAGCATCAAATTGTATTTCTGTGCACAGAAACCATGTGTAGTGTCATACGCTTGGTCAGGATATGGTCAATATATTTTTTGCAGTCACTCAACTAAGCTTCAAATTTCCGTAGGTTTGGTACATGTGTTCCTAGGTCATGGAGGTATATTTCTTAAACAAATGACCGGGCTTGACCAGAGACTTGGTTTGAACTAACCCTGAATCTAGTCCCATGTTTGAGGAATTAATTGAATAAAATAAGCCTATGTTTGTTTTAACTAAAACTTATATTTCTAGAATTTTTTATAAAAATTGATGAACAGTGTGGTTGAAAAATTGATAAAAATTGTGCATGATCCCATAAAATATGTGGTTGAAAATGATTTTTAGGAAAAATGAGTTTTTTTTTTTCCAATGAAACAATGAAAACGTGCCCAGGGGGAGCCCTCTTTTGGGTTGGTTTTGGGGGTTGGTGGGGATTAAAGATTGGGAAAGGGAAAGGAGGGCTTCTTGCTTTGTTGGGAACGTAATGGTACTATGGACTTGAACTAGATGGTATGGGTTGTTATGTTTACTGAAAGACCTTATCGCACAAGCACGAATTTAACTCATTTTCCGATGCTCTATTGAAAGGGTTTTTTTGGTGTCAAACAGATTCTGGCCTATTTGCTAATGTCAGCATCATCTTCGGCAGCTACGAGGGTGGACGATTGGGTATCTAACTGGGGGAAAGATGAGTTCACATTGATGGCCAGTGCTTCTATTGCGATGTCATTCCTGGCTTTTATTGCCTTTGCCATGAGCTCTCTCATATCTGGTTACAACCTTTGTTACCATGAGTCGACTTGATTTCTCGTCAGTCTACGTCTGTACATTCTTGTTTATTTATTTTTAATAATTTTGAGTATTTTTTGCTATGATAACTTAATTGCCATAAATTCTGCACTTGTACAGATGTAGCGATAGACTGATAGGAATTCTTCTATGGTTTATAAATAAATGGTCCATCATATCAAATAAAAGCAGGAAGGAGAATGAATACAAACCATATAAGAAGCTTTGGAGACTTCTCAAAAAACAGTTGTTATGAGATTTTAAGCCATCTTTGAACATGTTTGGATGACTTTTATAAATATTTTGTTTTGGTTGAAGAAGAGGTTTTAGAGTAAGCTGATTGAAGGTGGTTTTTATGAAGTTTTTATGTAAGAAGCAGAAACAAAAATCTTATCAAACGGGTCTTTTATATGTGAGAAAATCTAGCTTTGAAGCTTTTAAAAAATTCTTTTGCTTTCCATGTATGGAGTCAATGTTTTTTTCCGAAAAAGCGAACTCCAATGACTCAAATAGCCTCAGATAAAAATTATTCCAAGCGAAGTGCCTAAAGACAGGACTTAATCGCCTTGGTCCTTGGACTAGGTCTGTGGAAGAG